TCGGATCGTGTAGCTAATGCTAATGATGCTTGCGATCAAGTATGCGTTTTTCACATTCCAGATTATACAACGAATTGTTGCTGCAAACTGCATCGATAATTTCAGTTAATTGCTGTTGGACATTCGGATGCTCCTACAGTAGCGTTATGGAAGGATAGTTTGAATGAAGCATGGGGAAATCTGCTCGAATTGATGGATACACGCATGCAAATGTTAGAAGCATCCAGAATGCTGCATAAATTCTTTCATGACTGCCGTGATTGCTTGTCCAGAATTCTGGAGAAAAATCATGCTATACCGGAAGATCTTGGCCGGGACTCGTCCTCTGTTGGCGCACTAAAGCGAAAACATCAAAATTTCCTTAAGGCAAGTGAATATTCGCTTACCTTTCATAGTTGTTAAGAAATGTCTTGTACGACGTTTCACAGCGTATGCTATTGCAGGATATAGAAGCAATTGGCCAACAAGTAGCGCAGATTGAGCACGATGCTGTGCAATTACGCGATGCTTATGCCGGAGACCGGGCAATCGAGATTGGCGCTCGAGAAGCCGAAGTGCAGAAGGCATGGCGCCAGCTTCGCGCGATGTGTGACGCTCGTTCAGTGCGATTGGGCGATACCTCGGATCTGTTTCGTTTTATGAATATGGTCCGTGATTTGCTTCTCTGGATGGATGAGGTTCGACGGGAGATGAGCTCACAAGAAAGACCAAGGGTTTGTTTCAGCTTTTTTCGCGGGATATTTCAAAATTTTTATGCTGATACTTTTGAAATATGGAATTGTTTAGGATGTGTCCGGTGTTGAGCTTTTGATGAACAATCACCAGAGCCTGAAAGCGGAAATTGACGCACGTGAAGAAAATTTCAATGCATGCATATCGTTAGGCAGAGATTTGTTAAATCGCAGACATTATGCGTCATCTGAAATCGAAAAGAAATTGATCAAGTTAACCACTGAAAGAGCCGAAATGATGCGACGGTGGGAAGATCGCTGGGAATATCTGCAGCTAAGTGAGCCTTTGCTAATTTTTGATGTTTTCTTCGTCCATTAATAGACTAATACAAAATACTTAAAATTAATGTCTTATGCAACTGCTATTTCACCACTGTTGGTGCGGCTGGTAATTTTTCTATCCCGTTTGCTTCCAAGCTAGCTGTATAATTTCATTCGAAATGTGGATGAGACATAATGTGGCATGGTGCTTCTCTCTCTTTATGAAAGTTCGGGGTTTGGGAATGCAGCTGCCGAAACTCGGCTCGGCTCGGCCGCGCATTATGCAGCACAAAGCGCATATTGTCACGTGGTTATCTACTTGAGTGTGTATTTGTGTGCGTGTGTATTTGTGTGTTTGTGTACTTGTTTGTGTGCGTGTGTATGTATGTGTGCGCGGCGTTTGTACCGCACTTTCGACTCGAGAACCACAAAAGCTAGGTGGCTG